CACATAAGCAAAGCATGAACCAGGTTTTCTTAACTTCAAGGCTGGCCCTCTACTCACTAAACCTCACTGACCCTCATAAAAGAAAAGAGTAGCCACTAAAATCTAAGTCAAAATTGCAAAATCTCTCCCCACCCAAGAATCTCTCTTTTTTTTTTTTTAATTAAAGGTGCTCAGTCTATTCCTACTTCACTATTCTTTTTCTCACTAATCCCTCACTCCTCTGCAGGCTCTGAACTCTACTGTGGCAACCTTCCCAGAATCCACAAGCTTTATGTCTCCTTAAGAGACGGAGGCCTCTCTGAAGCCAGCCAATTTGCCTAGATCCGTTCATCACTATAAGCAATATGGCAGATTCTTCACACTCTTTTAGCCATCAATGGCATCACTAATTTATTCTGCTTAAGGCAGCAGTAACATGTAGATAGTAAAAGGTACCATTTTCTTCTCAAGTTATATATGAAAAGGCTTTATTATGGTTTCAATAGTTGAGGAGGAAGAAATTTATCAGATTTCTATTTTTTTCAGATAATTTAAGACTTAAACACAAATATTTAACCAATCCCAAATTCTACCATTGATTTAAAATAATTTGATATTATTCCAGTAGCCTTTTCACTGCTTATAATACAAAATTCAGCATTTTTAAAAGTCTTCTCCAAAATGGCTTAAGAATTATCTTATTAGTTAAAACAAATAAGTAAAATGTAGAAAAATAAGATGCCTAAGACCAATGATCAAGATCTTAGCTTCACTGACTAGTCCAAATCTTGTGACTAGAATATATTATAAAAAGGAGAAAAGTTTCAATATTTTGGGAAGTCAGTCATCTGGAAATGATCACCTCTCTCTCCTTTCAGCAGGGCCCTCTCCAAAAAGTGTGATTGGTTCACCCAGGGCTCGAAGACAAGCCTTGACTTCTGAGTCATCCGTGGAAACATTGATCTGCCGGGCTCGCTTCCTTCGCTCAAATTCAGCCAACACTTCGGCTTGCCTTTCACTGATATGTTCTTCAATTTCAAAGACTTCCCCTATACACAGAAAAGGCAACAGAGCACAGTGATCAAGAGTTCATACTCCAAATATGAGGAAGGAAAAAAATTGTAACTTAAAATTATTCATGCCCAATACCTAACTCAAAATTCGACAGCTTTAAAAGGAGGCTAACGGCACTACCAATATCTGATGCCACTTGACACAATCCCAACTAAACAAAAGAGTAAGATACAAAGGCTTTGATGAAACCTGGAGAGGACAGACTTCGGAAGCCCAGAATCTTTGATACATCTAGCAAATTAATTATTTAGGTATTTTGTTTGGAAAAAAAGAGAGAGAGAGAAGCACAAGTCATATCCTTGTATTCATCAAAGCAATGTTGATATGGGGGCACTAATACATGACTGCTAAACTCCCATGAGAATGAAATTCACAATTCTACAGGGATTTTGACAGGTACAATTTCTCTAAGGGTTCCAGACTGCGTGTTCATTTATATCATAAATAACAAATTAAGCTTGCTATCAATTCAATATCTCCTTGGGTTCATTTAAATAAGCCAGGTCAGGATATTATGAAACCTCTTTGGCAGTCTGGGGAAACCTATGGACCCCTTATCAGAATGTTTTTAAATACACAAAATGAAATATACAACATCACAAAGGAAATCAATTATAATAAACCACAGTGATCTAAATATAGGTTGGGGTAGCTAGGTAGCTAAGCAAATAGACTTGAGCCCAGAGTCAGGAAGAACTGAGTTCAAACCTAGCCTCAAGACACTCATTAGTTGTGTAACTCTGTACTTTGTTTTTGTTTTTTTTAGGCAATTGGGGTTAAGTGACTTGCCCAGGGTCACACAGCTAGTAAGTGTCAAGTGTTTAGTCTGAGGCCGGATTTGAACTCCGGTCCTCCTGACTTCAGGGCCAGTGCTCTACCCACTGTGCCACCTAGCTGCCTAGTTGTGTAACTCTAGGCAAGTCATTTAACTGTTTGCCTCTGCTACCTTCAATGTAAAATGAGTTGGGGAAGGAAACGGCAAAGCAATCTAGTATCCCAAATGGGGTCACACAAAATCGGACACAACAGAAATGACTGAAAAACAAAATAAAGGATTATCCCAAAACTCTTGGTGCATTTTAAAAGTTTTAATTTTTAATAGCTTAAAATTACACTAAGAGTTTTGGGACACCCTGGATTTAAAAAAGCAAAAAAAAATTCACAGACAGGATCAGGTAAAAAACTGTTTCTAAAACTAGAGCCAATACTAAGGAGTCTTGGCTAAGTTGTGGTGTCTCACTTATTTAGATGCAGTATACAGAAAGGATAAAATAAAAACACTGGAGAAGAAAAAAGCAAAAACAAAAAAGGAATAAACATAACCATGCTGGCCCAAAACAATGTCAGAACCACGTTAAACCTGTTCTTTGAAGAAGCAGAGCACGATTCTGTGAACTTAGTCTGAGTGATACTCTACTAAAAATACTCACAATCCTTAAGAATAGTCCTACAAAAAAAACTGAGGGAGAAAAGGGCATCTGGGAAGATGCAAGATGAGAAGAATGACTCTACTTTTAAGTGCCTACTACATTAGACACTATGGTAAATACAAAGACAAGACATTCTATTCAACAATTTTACTTTTATTTAACTACTTTGTATATGTTTGTATCTATTCACTTAAGTAAATTTGTTTAAATTTACATATTTGTACTTTTCACTTTAAATTTATGAGATATGTATGTATATATGTTAATGTGTATATATATGAACATGCATATACATGTCTCCCTGAGCATAGGGAATGTTTCATTCTTTTCACCTACATGTTTAGCATGCAGCAGTGTCTTGTACATTGTAAGTGCTTAATATATACTAGCTGATTTAGTACCTTCAAGGAATTTACAATCTAGTAAAATTTACAATCATATAACAGAATGATGTAATACAAATTAGAATATTAATCCCATGGGATTAGATGACCTCTAGAAATATGGGTACGAGGCAAGCAACGTTAAACTTAGCCTTAGAGAAGCAGTTTATAAACCACACTTTCATAAAGATAAGTTCAAGGAGAGACTATAATTGATGATGCAAAACTTATTTTTCTCAAGGCCCAAAGTAAAGGGAGAAGATATCCAAGCCTAGAAAATCCTTAAGACCAGGCAGAATAGGCAAAACAAAAGACTGGTTCAAAACTAGTCTTACCAGAAGTTATGTTAATATTTCCAGCCTCAATTCCAGCTTTAATTCCCTCTTTCCCCAGCATCCCTGACTCCCCTCTTGCAAGACGCTCCTTCTCCTTCTCTTCCAAACTGCCATAATAGATATGAGGTTTCTTCACTACAGGGGAGGCGGTATCTTCAGGAGTCCTACTAGGGGTTTTGGTTGCCTATAAAATCAAACAGCATTGTTAACCTAGAGTTGGAGCAACCTTCTGAGATGCCTGAAGTGTTAATTTTGGAACCAAATCCTATTCTTTGCTCTATAGAAATAAGCAAGGTACCAGCTGGAGCTCTCTTTCCTCATTCAGATAAAGTCACAGTTGTGTTTTATTGCATGCTCATCTAAGAGCATGTTCAGGACAAGAAATGTGTTGGATGAAACTAATGAACTCCATCTTCCTCTTAGTGATTTCCCAACCAATAGGATATTTTGAAACTGCTTAGTTTATTAAGTTGTAAGACCTCTGGGGGCACGTGCAATCTCTCTTGGAGTTCTGAGTGTTCATTTATGTTATCAATAACATATTAAGCTTGTTAACAATTCAATGTCTCCTTAGACTCACTGAGATAATAAAAGACTGAAATAAATTTAAGCAGTGAATTCGAAGGGAAACATTGAGAGAATTTACCTCTGGTTAAACCAAATTCTAACTCAGAGGCTGTTTTTTCACCTTTCAAGAACACTACCTCAGTCTACACAGAACTTCGTAGGTTTTAATGCATTTACACATGCATAATCTCATTTTATCTTCCCAAAAACCGAATGACTGCACAAGGTCATGGATTATCACCTTTTTTTTTTAATACAACCTTAGAGCTGAAGAGTCTAGATCATTCCTCTTCCAGACACAGGAAACCCCCTCTTTAACATCCTGACAAGCAATCATTCAAATTCTGCTCAGACACTTCAAAGTGATGGTGAACTCACCATCTCTCATCGAAGTCTTTTCCACAACTTTGTTAAGAAGTTCTTTCCAAATCCTGAACTAACATCTGCCTTCTTGAAACTTTCCTTTTAGAGATGATGAACTGGAGTTAAGTGATCTGTCCGGGATCTGGACAAAGCTAGGACTAAAATCCAAATGACATAACACAAATGTCAGAGCTGAAAAGAAGTTAGCATCTAGTCTAGTTTACTCTCTTTACTGGAGGAAACTCGGGCCAGGAATTAACAGGCAGCTTAACCAAGGCGGTGCAGGGCTGGGAAGAGAAGCCACATCTCCCACCTCCCAGCCCAGGGCAACTTTTTATTACCACGCTCTTTTAGAACTCCGATTCCCTGCCGAATTCAAGCCCCAGAAGCGGCCCCGTTTCTCCCCGGGTGAGTGGGGAGGCCAGGCCCCTCGGGAGGGCTCCAGGCTCAAGAAACCAGCCAGTCCATTCCCCTGCCTCTGCACCAACCCACCCATCATCTCCCTGAGCGCGGGTTCTGTGGAAGTGGCACAAGCCAATTTCGGCTCCACTACATGTGGGCAGAGAACTCCCAAGGATCCCCAAACACCAAGGCGGACCGCACCGTGGCCGAAGCTCGAGAAGAAACCATGTCTCGGCGGGTCGCCCACTCACCGACCACCACGGCCGCCGACTCCGCCGCTGGAGCGTTCACTCCACGCTCAGGAGACCGGAAACTTGGAAATGTACCGGAAATAGCGCATAATCGGAACTAAATGGAGTCCGGAAGCCCGGGGGAGGCGCGGAGCAGGCCGGGGATTAGGCGCGGAGCATTTTGGGAGAGGTAGTCGGTAGCGACGGATAAGGAAGGGGTTGCGAGGCATGCCGGGAGGTGTAGTCCTTGCGGTCGATCCTACTGTAGGTTGGTAGGTGGCGGGAAAGGCAGAGTGGAGCGGGTCGGCGGCGTTAGGGATCTGAGAAGTCGGTGTCACCCCGGGACCTGACTGAACCAACCTGAGCCTCGCCTCGCCGCGCCGGGGGGAGGTGAGTGTTGGTACTCCAAAGACCTAATGCCTGGGGCGAGGCGGGCGGAAAGGGAAGGAGGGGACGTGAGCTGGGAGGAAGGAGGGGCAGGCGGCGGGCGGGCGGGCTTCGGGCTCCGGCTGTTTGGGTCGGCTGGCCTGCCTCTCCGTTGCCATGGAAACGCAGGCCCCAGCCTCAGTCACAACCTCCCTCTCCCTTCCCCCATCTGATTCCACTGACCTTAGAGGAGGAATCATTTTACAGATGGGGAAACTAAGGGCCAGAGAGTGGACCCAGATTCGAGGCTGGGTGGCATCCCCCCCTTCCCCTACATTCCCCATCCTCCCCCTTCCCCCACTCCACGTTGAGGTAGAGAAAATAAATAGGTATAGATTATGGGGAATAGGAAGCACTCAAAAATTGCCTACCCCGTTTGAGACTACTCTGTTTATAGTCAGTGAGCCTAGTGTTCTGTCCATCATCTCTCAGATCCTTCTGCCAGTAATTTTGATGCCAGGATTGAAGTGGTTAAGGAGAGTGTGGTCCGTATGCCCAAAATCCTAAAACACAGTAGGAAATCATATGCTGCCATGCATGCTTATTGAGGTACTTAAGTCCATACTGGGCTAATGACTGCTCTTTATTACATAAGAGAAGGAGCTATATAATGTCCCCAAAGGCGGTTAAATTAATCCTGATCGTTTGGGAGGTTAACATTGCTAATAGGAATCTGTTACATGGGAGGGGAGAAGGATGTTCAGAAATGACAACATAAAAAAATCAGTGTATGTGAAAAACAAAAGTATATTAAAATTTAGATCATGAAGCTAAAAGAATAAGGCCCAAGGAGTACTGATTTGTGATAGTGTAATTCTCTACAGATATTTTAGTACAAATCTTCACAATTGTTTTTTTTTTGGTTTTTGTTACCTGAAATACAATTTGCATCAAGTCGTTGTATAGTTATGAATCAAAGAGAGTTTTCATTAGAATTAGGAAGTCAACAACCTGTGTGATCCATTTTGAAGTGAAATCTGAACTATGCTTTTGCCAGTGATCACAAATCCATAAAAACACATACACAGGGTAATAAAACTGATTGTTGATATCCGTTCTGTAAGTGGTGATTCATTTTGAATTAAGGAAAGTTATTTTAAATTGTCTATTTAAACTCGTACAATTCTCTGAACGTGACTGAAGTACTGGATTAAAGTGGACTTTGCATCACTTGATTTCGATATGTTTCCCAGGTGGCTATTTTTGAATGGCTGTTCATGGAGGGAGAGATCTTTCAAGTCAGAGTCACTGAGACCTATGATATAATGCTTCCTAAAGGCTTGGGAGGTTGTGTGTACATTTATGGTATCACTGTTTTGCTTTCATATATTTGTTTGCAGAGACATTAATCACCGCTAGAGTATGTTTGTTGAAGAGCCTCTTCCTTCTCCCTAAATTTTGACAGTTCAGTGGATTGGGGTTGTAGGTGTTGAACTGTTACCAGGATGCTCCGACGAAAACCCACCCGCCTGGAGTTGAAACTAGATGACATTGAGGAGTTTGAGAGTATCCGGAAGGATCTGGAGGTGAGGGGGTACATATCTGCTACTTTAGGGTGTTCGTATTTTAGGATGTGCTATCTTAGTCTAAAGTATTCTGTCTATGAGACTATTTCACTTGGGAAAAGAGTGCTGAAGTGAGTTTTTAGTGTAGCTGTCTACATCATTACTTAGAAGAACCTTGATTTGAAGGTCACTTCATATCAAAATAAACACTTTCATATGGAACTATGTATGTTTAAATTTGAATCAGTAATCAAACTCAGTCTTTTTATATTATGTAACAATCTGGCCAAACCACATGTTCTGAAACTGTAACTACTTCATCTTATATGCAATAGTGACTATGAATGGTTTTTATAATGTATTTTAAAAGTTTAATGGGCTGCTAGGTGGTACAGTAGATAGAGTGTAGGGCCTAGAGTCAGGAAGACCTGAGTTCAAATGCAGCTTCAGACACTTACTGTATGACCCTGGGCAAGTCACTTAACCCTGTTTGCCTCGGTTTCCTCATCTGTAAAATGAGCTAGAAAAGGAAATGGCAAACTACTCCAGTGTCTTTGCCAAGAAAACCCCAAATGGGGTCACAAAGAGTTGGACACAACTGAAAAACGAAAACAAAACTGAACAACAAGACTGAGCAACAAAAAAAGTTTGAATTGAATTATATCTATTATTAAAATTGTATTTAATTATATTAATTATATCTATTATTGAAATATTTTATAAACTGGCTTTCTTTTCTTCCTAAAGACTAGCTTGCTTTCAACATCATAATTTTTAACTTTTAAAAAAATTCACAAGGAGTGTAACCTGGTCCTCTCGTGCATCATCATCCTTGACTCCTCAATTACATTAAGGGCTTTCAACATGAGCCTTATTGGTCATGCATCCTGATCTGCCTGCTGCCGACTGTGGTGTTGGGTATAAAGAAAGGTTACAGACTCCATGGGTTCAGAGGAATGCCACGGAACTTATGTGGGGGGCCATCAGAGGACCAGAGACCACAGTTTGGGAGTTCAAAGAGAGCCACAAATGTCAAATTGAAGAACCAAGAGTGGATCACAGAATTTGGGCAGAAGCTTTGAGGAGAGCTTCTGGACTTGCAGTGATCCTGAGTCCAAAGGCACTTTACCCAGAGGAGAATGAGGGATTTAAGGCAAGGAGAACAGAGCTTCTGCTGGTTTGGTGCCTGAACAGACCTGGAAGCCCTGGCTTCCCTACCCTCTGTTGATTTCCTCATTGGGAGCTTCGTATACCAATGAAATCACTGGTTGAATCCAACCCTCCCACCTATCCATCTGCAGTCAACCTCCAAGTTACTTTTTGAGGATAAGCCTTAGGGGCGGTTGGAAGCTTTGATTGTAATGAGCCTTATAAAATGCCAGCTTATTGAACTTTGACTCTGCCAAATGAGCTAACCAGTGTTGAGTCACTAATGCCACTAATAGAGTTAGCACAAAGAGTTGACCCAGCCAGCAGGACAGGTAGACATTACAAGAAAATTCAGCTAGCTTAGAACATAGGGTTTGATACTGAAGTCAAACTGGGGGCACTTCCACATTTCTAGATTTAGGATACATCAGCAGTGGCCCACAGTACCAGGCTTTTCAGATGACTGTTCCCTAGGGCTGATGTTGTTTCTGTAGTCAGACTTCAGTCACTAAATGAGGTATTTGTACAGCAAAAGTTCAGTTTGAGGAGGTATGTAGAGGGGTGGTGGTGTTGGAGGAACACTGCCCAGAAAGACTCATGTGGTAACAGTGAATAACTATTTCATTTAGCAATGTTCTTTTTTTTAATATATATATACAGCTTTCACATTTGTTTTTTATTAAAAGGTCTTTCCTAGTGGCACAACACAGAAAAATAGACTTATGGTTTAGGATTCCCATATTCTCAAGTCCTCTGATGTACAACCTTGGTTCATTTTTAAAATAATAATAAAAAATAATCCCTTGTGCTGAATCTGAAAATCATTGCATTAGGAGAAGACTATAACTTCTCATGTAAAGACAAAAAAAATACTGAGTATATTTTTTAAAAATTTCTGAAAGGCATTTAATGCAATTCTTTTTTTTTTTTGGTGGGTCATTTGGGGTTAAATGACTTGCCCAGAGTCACACAGCAAGTGAGTGTTATGTTTCTGAGGCCACATTTGAACTCTGGTCCTCTTGACTCCAGGGCCAGTGCTTTATCCACTATGCCACGTAGCTGCCCCAACACTTCTAATGCTAGTTATGTTTCAATATTCTGGGTTACATACTTAAAGGCAGACTATAATAATTTAAAATATCCATTTTCTTTCATGACTTGAAACAGTGCACATAGTAATTGTGTATGTGTGTGTGTGACAGTCTAAGTTTCTCCTGTAAAAGAATACATTTACATTCTAACATTTGTAGATCACATATCAAGAAACCAATTAAGACAGTCTCTGGTCTGTATTACTCATTGGTTTCAAAAACTTGCCTTTAGTTTTTTTCTCCCCAGGTTTCTCCCCGTAAAAAATGTTTTGTTGTTCTTCGTGTCTGACTTAGTGACCTCATTTGGCATTTTCTTGGCAAATATACTGAAGTAATTTGCTTTTTCCTTCTCCAGCTCAATTTACAGATGAGGAACTGAGGCAAAGAGGTTAAGTGACTTGCCTAGGGTCACATAGATAGTAAGTATCTGGGGCTTTGAACTCATGAAGTTGAGTCTTTCTGACTCTAGGCCCAGTACTCTGTCCACTGCCTAGCTGCCCCCAAAACCTACTTGGACAAAATTTTAATTGTGCTATTTATTGGTGGTATAAATTGGACATATAGTAAACCAGGAGGGGGTTGGGGTTTTTTTTTTCAACTTATATCTCACAGAAAGTATTTGGTCAAATATAATATTTTGGATTTACTATTTTTTTTATTTTTTTTCTTCTAAATTTATTCATTTTTAGCTTTCAACATTTACTCCCACAAGATTTTGAGTTCCAAATTTTCACCCTATCTCGCCCCTCCCCCCACCCAAAGATGGCATGCATTCTGAATATCCCTTGCCCTAGTCTGCCCTCTCTTCTATCTCTCCCCCTCCTTCTCTTATCGCCTTCCCCTTCTATTTTCCTGTGGGGCAGGATAGATTTCTGTACCTCATTGCCTGTATTTCTTATTTCCCAGTTGTATGTGAAAACAATTTTTAACATGTGTTTTTAAAACTTTGGGTTCCAAATTTCCTCCCTTCCTCCCTCCCCACCCACCCTCATTGAAAAGGCAAGCAACTCAATATAGGTTAAACATGTGCAGTTATGCAAAACACTTCCATAGTAGACATGTTGTGAAATACTAACTCTATTTTCCTTAATCCCATCCTGCCCCCCCATTTATTCTATTCTCTCTTTTGACCCTGTCTGTCCTCAGAAGTATTTGCTTCTGATTACCCCCTTTCCCAGTCTGCCCTCCTCTCTATCATCTCCCTGCTCTCTTGTCCCCCCCCCTTTTTCTGTAGGGTAATACAGATTTCCATACTCCATTGAGTGTGTATGTTATTCTTTCCTTAAGCCAAATCCTATGAGAATACGAGTCACTCATTCCCTCTTACCTTCCTCCATTTCCCCTCCACTGCAAGAGACTTTTCTGTTTTTTGTGAGATAATTTACTCCATTCTACCTTTCCCTTTCTCCTTCTCCTAGTATAATCCTCTCTCATCCCTTAATTTTATTCTCCAGATATCACCCCTTCATCTTCAACTCACCCTGTGCCCTCTATCTATCTACTGATCTATCTATCTATCTGTCTATATATATATACATACATATAATTTTTTTCCTCCAACTACCCTGATACTGACAAAGGTCTCATGAGTTATAAATATCATCTTTCCATGCAGGAATGTAAACAGTTCAATTTTAATAAGTCTCTTATGATTTCTCTTTCCTGTTTACCTCTTCATGTTCCACTTCAGTCTTGTATTTGACAGTCAAATTTTCTATTCAACTCTGGTTTTTTAATCAAGAATGCTTGAAAGTCCTCTATTTCACTGAATGACCATTTTTTTTCCCCTGAAGGATTATACTCAGTTTTGCTGGATAGGTGATTCTTGGTTGTAATCCTATCTCCTTTGCCCTCCAGAATATTATATTCCATGCCCTGCAGTCCTTTAATGTAGAAGCTGCTAAATCTTGTGTTATCCTGATTGTGTTTCCACAATACTTGAATTGTTTCTTTCTGGCTGCTTGTAATATTTTCTCCTTGACCTGGGAACTCTGGAATTTGGCTACAATATTCTTAGGAGTTTTCCTTTGGGGGATCTCTTTCAGGAGGAGATTGGTGGATTCTTTCAATTTCTATTTTGCCCTCTGGTTCTAAAATATCAGGACAGTTTTCTTTGATAATTTTTTTTTTGTATCAAATTTGTTTTATTCTTCACAGTTTCTCAATCATCTTGATTCAGTCATTAGTACTGCTTCCCTCTGAAGGAGCATCCTTCTGTAAGTTTTGCCTTTCCTCCAGTAGGCTGACAGAGCACAGTGGAGCATCCCACACAGAGAAACACTGTTTGTGCATGGCTGAAGACAGTGGTGATTTTATAGCACCCTGGGCACTTTACGTCCATGAAATACGAGTTCCAACTCTGCACCAGGCGCTTCTTCTTGTGTTTGCGCTTCTTCTTGTGTTTCCGCTTCTCCTCCTTGGGAGGAGGGTGCAGGACGTCTTTGGCAAGAGGCATGGTGGCATGGGGAGATCTTCACCGCTGGAAAAAACCCTTGATAATTTCTTGAAAGATAATGTCTAGGCTCTTTTTTTGATCATGGCTTTCAGATAGTCCAATAATTTTTAAATTCTTTCTCCTGGACCTATTTTCCAGGTCAGTTGTTTTTCCAATGAGGTATTTCACCTTGTCTTCTAATTTTTCATTCTTTTGGATTTGTTTTACAGTGTCTTGATTTCTCATTAAATCACTAGCTTCCAATTGCTGTATTCTAATTTTTAAGGAAGTGTTTTCTTCAGTAATCTTTTGGACTTCCTTTTCCATTTGGCCAATTTTTCTTTTTAGGACATTCTTCTCCTCATTGGCTTTTTGGACCTCTTTTGCCATTTGGGTTAGGCTATTTTTTAAGGTGTTAGTTTCTTCAGTATTTTTTTGGGTCTTCTTTAGCAAGCTGTTGACTTGTTTTTCATGATTTTCTTGCATCACTCTCATTTCTCTTCCCAGTTTTTCTTCTACTTCTCTTACTTGTTTCTCAAAATCCCTTTTGAGCTCTTCTAAGGCTTGGGACTGATTCATATTTTTCTTGGAGGCTTTGGATGTAGGACCTTTGACTTTGCTGTCTTCTTCTGGTTGTTTGTTTTGATTTTCTTTGTCACCAAAGTAAGATAATATAGTCTGACTCTTTTTTCAAGGTTTGCTCATGATCCCAGCCAGTTACTTGAGTTTTAAACTCTTTGTTAAGGTAAGAGTCTGCTAACAATGTGGAGAATGTAATGTCCCAAGCTTCGGGTGTTTGTACAGCTGTTTTCGGAGATACTTCTAGGGACCTGTAAATTTTCAGTTCTTCCAGGGTGGCATGATAAGGGGCAAGGTGTTTACTCCCTTCCTGGTCTATGAGTGACCACACACAGTCTTTTCTGTCTTAGAACTGTGAGGAAGGTTTCCTGTCCACAGCCACTACAAGCTCTACCACGCCAACACTCCTCCTCGCCCCAGGACCGCCACCCAGAACTGTGACCCAGATCTAAGCACGGGCACAGCAAGAGATTCTTGCCTCAGCACTGGCAAAGAGATCCCTGCAGTCTCCCTCTAATCAGCCACCAGATTCCCCCTCAGTCTATGGGCCAGAAGCTCAGGATGCAGCCACTGCCCCTGGAACTGTCGCTGAGACCCTGTGTTCCTCTCTCGCCGCAGAAACAAACTTTTCCCACTGACCTTCTAAGTTGTCTTTGGTGTTCCTGGGTTGAGAAGTCTGGAAGCCACCACAGCTGCCCGTGATTCAGTCCTCTGAGGCCTGCTCCAGGTTCACTGTGGCCTGCGTGCCCACGCCACACTGCACTCCTCTTACAGCCTGGTGCGATGTACCTTTCTGATCAACCATCCAAGCTGTCTTGGGCTGGAAATTTGTTTCACTCTGTCTTTTTGTGGGTTCTGCTGCTTTAGTGTTTGTTTAGAGCCATTTTTTTTTACTGGTATTTGAAGGGTTTGGGGGAGAGCTCAAGCAAGTCACTGCTTTCACTCTGCCATCTTGGCTCTGCCCCGGATTTACTGTTTTTAAATGATCAGAGAAAACAATAGCAGAATAATGAAATACAGAGGCAGATAGGTAGCAAAGTGGATAGAGGACTAAATCTAGAATCAGGAAGACCTAAGTTCAAATATGATTTCAGAGACTTGCTATGTGACCCTGTACCAGTCATTTAGTCTATGTCTGTCTCAGTTTCCTCATCTGTAAAATAGGGATAATAATTGCACTTATCTCCCAGGGTTGTAAGGGTAAAATGAAATCATATTTGTTCAATGCTTTACAAACCTTTTTTATTTTATTAATTTATTTTGATTTATTAACAATCACTTCCATATGCTTTTGAGTTGAGAATTTTTCTCCCCCTTCCTCCCCCCCACCCTCCCCAAGATGGCATACAATCTGATATAGGCTTTACATTTACATACCCATTAAACATATTTTCACATTAGTGAAGTTGTAAGTAAAAATTAAAACCAACAGGAGGAACCATCAGAAAGAGGAAACAAAACTCAACAGAAGGTAAAAATAAGTGATAGCGATTCAATTGCCATGGTTCTTTCTTTGGATGTGGACAGCATTTTCCATCACAAGGCCTTTGGAGATATCTTAGATCCTTGTATTGCTGAGAAGGGTTAAGTTTATCAATATTAGTCATAGCACAATGTGGCTGTTATTTTGTGCAACATTCTCTTGGTTCTGCTCACTTCACTCAGCATCAGACCATATAAGTCTTTCCAGGTTTTTCTGAAGTCAGCCTGTTCATCATTTCTTATAGCACAATAGTATTCCATTACATTCATATACCACAACTTGCTCAGCCATTCCCCAATTGATGGGCATCCTCTCATCCAATTCTTTGCCACCACAAAAAGCTGCTATGGATATTTTTGTACATGTGGGTCCTTTTCCCATTTGTTTGATCTCTTTGGGATATAGCCCTAGAAGTGCTATTGCTGGATCAAAGGGTATGCACATTTTTATAGCCCTTTGAGCATAGTTCCAAATTGTTCTCCAAAATGGTTGGATCATTTCACAACTCCACCAACAATGTATTAGTGTTCCAATTTTCCCACATCTTCTCCAACATTTCTCATTTTCCTGTTTTGTCATGTTGGCCAATCTAATAGGTGTGCTGTGGTACCTCAGAGTTGTTTTGATTTGCATTTCTGTAATCAATAATGATTTAGAGCATTTGTTCATATGACTATAGATGGCTTTAATTTCTTCATCTGAGAACTGTCCATATCCTTTGACCATTTATCAATTGGGGAATGGCTTGTGTTCTTATAAATTTGTCTTAATTCTCTATATATTTTAGAAATGAGGCCTTTATCAGAGAGACTGGTTGTAAAAATTCTTTCCCAATTTTCTACCTTCCTTCTAATCTTAGTTGCATTGGCTTTGTGCAAAAACTTTTCAATTTAATGTAATCAAAATTATCCATTTTGCTTTTCATAATGTTCTGTATCTCCTGTTTGTTCATGATACCTAAACCAGGAAGAGTCAAAATAGAGAAAGAAAATTATAGACCAATTTCTCTAATGAATATAGATGCAAAAATTTTTAAACAAAATACTAGCAAATAGATTGCAGCAACTTATCACAAGAATAATACGCTATGACTAGGTAGGATTTATACCAGGAATGCAGGGTTGGTTCAGTATTAGGAAAACTATCAGCATAATTGAGCATATCAACAACAAAACCAACAGAAACCACATGATCATCTCAATAGATGCAGAAAAAGCTGATAAAATACAACACCCATTTCTATTAAAAACACTAGAAAGCATAGGTATAAATGGAGTCTTCCTTAAAATAATAAATAGCATATATCTAAAACCTTCAGCAAGCATTATATGTAATGGGGAGAGGCTAGTAGCATTTCCAATAAGATCCCGGGTGAAACAAGGATGTCCATTATCACCACTGTTATTCAATATTGTACTGGAAACCTTAGCTTTAGCAATAAGAGAAGAAAAAGAAATTGAAGGCATTAGGATAGGCAAAGAAGAAACAAAGCTATCACTCTTTGCAGATGACATGATGATATACTTAGAGAATCCTAGAGAATCAAGTAAAAAACTACTTGAAATAATAAACAACTTTAGCAAAGTTGCAGGCTATAAAATAAACCCACATAAATCATCAGCATTTCTATATATTACCAACAAAGCCCAACAGCAAGAGATAGAAAGAGAAATCCCATTTCAACTTACTGTAGACATTATAAAATATTTAGGAGTCTACCTCCCGAAACAAACCCAGGAACTCTATGAACACAATTACAAAACACTTTTCACACAAATAAAATCAGATCTAAATAATTGGAAAAACATCAGTTGCTCATGGGTAGGCCAAGCTAATATAATAAAAATGACAATCTTACCTAAGCTAATTTATTTATTCAGTGCCATACCAATCAAACTACCAAGAAATTATTTTATAGAGTTAGAAAAATAATAACAAGATTCATTTGGAAAAACAAAAGGTCCAGAATATCAAAGGAACTAATGAAATGCAGTGGAAGGTGACCCAGCAATTCCAGATCTTAAATTGTATTGTAAAGCAGCAATCATCAAAACTGCTTGGTACTGGCTAAGAAATAGGGAGGTGGATCAGTGGAATAGGTTAAATATGCAAGACACAAATAGTCAATGACTATAGTAATCTATTATTTGATAAACCCAAAGACCCCAGCTTCTGGGATAAGAACCCACTCTTTGAAAAAAACTGCTGGGAAAACTGGAAAAGAGTATGGCAGAAACTAGGCATAGACCCAGATCTCACACCATATACCAAAATAAAGTCAAAATGCGTTCATGACTTAGATATAAAGGCTGATACCATAAGTAAACTGGGACAACAAGGAATAGTTTACCTATCAGATCTATGGAGGACAGAAGAATTAATGCTTTACAAACCTTAAAGTACTATGTAAACATTGGCAATTACTATTACTACTATAGTGATTTAAGTAACTAATGAAAAGTTTTAGATGTAGCATTTTTTCATCACCACCTTATAGGAAACTATTATCATTCACAGTTTCATTAATTTGCATAATCAAAGATACTCATTCACTAGTCTGCTTGTTTTGAAAAGGGAGTAAGTGAAGCACAGAGTTTGTGACTTCAGTGTAGTCATTTTGTGAGTGGGTGGCAACGTTTGTTTAAAGACATTTTAAAAGACTTTTTTTAAAGACAGTGTCAAACATTGAAAGAATTAAGGCTTTTGTTAATACAATAAGAAATTAATATTGTTCCTATGTGAATCTTACTGCAGGTACTGTCAGCTGCAATGGTCATTGTTTTAGCATCCCTTTATCATGAATATTCTGAACAGTACACTAACATGTTCGTGCATTATTTCCAAACTTTCTCTGTTTTCAGACCCGTAAAAAACAAAGGGAAGAGGTGGACGTGGTGGGAGCCAGTGATGGGGAAGGAGCTATTGGCCTGAGCAGTGACCACAAGACCCGAGAACAAATGATCAATGACCGAATTGGTTATAAACCTCAGCCCAAGCCCAATAATCGTTCATCTCAGTTTGGAAGCTTTGAGTTTTAGAGTTTATCGATAAATTATCCTATGTGCCTGTAATGAGGTAAAGGCAAAAATTAAAATACTGCTTAGAGAACTAAGCGCTTGAAGACTACCAGAATATTTTGCCTTCATGAGATCCCCATGAGGCTGGGCTTCTTTATTCAGAAGAAATTTGAACTCTAGTTGGTGTCTGAAACATTTTCATCTTCCTCTCCAGAGAACTTGTATTTTGTTTTTAAAAATAAAGACAACTTTAGAAAATGTGAAGAATCTTTAATTGAGCCAAAAACCAATGAGTGGGAACTTATGTTTTAGCCCCAAGAATCCAAGTGAATGTTGCTTCGGAAGATAAATAACTTTCTTCGTTAAGAGTTATAATAGCTGAAGTCTGCTCTGTCACTTAGTAACACGCTTAATCAAGTTATAGTAGTATCTGGGTACCCTTGCTGGCTAGGTTACTTTTCATGTTGTTGTGGATATAAAGTTGGATGAATAGGTTAGTGTCATCCTTTTCCTGCCCAAGAAGTGTTCTTTGTCCTTTTCTACTTTCTTCAGAAGTTATGGACAAGTCCAGCAGATTTCCCTTCTGCTTAGGATTTCCCCAAAACTAATTTTCCCTTTGGGGAGGGTAAGTTTGGAACAGGATTCTTACATTCCCCCACTTTCAAACTGGTTTATACCTTTAGTTTTTCTTTTTTAAAAATTACAAACCTAATATATCAAATAAAATAATTGTTTTCATATATGCTATAGATTTGGAAAGGAATGTATATGTAAAAATGCAAATTTCTATTAGAGTTTTTCTTTTAAAATATATAAGTAAAGTTTCAAAATCATCTTGATCATCTCCTATCTTGATTCCTTCTGTTCTCATTTTTTTGTTTGTTTGGAAACTGTATCCCTAACCCCTTTTTCCTCTTGCTTTCCTCCTCCAACTTTTAATTGGAAAAAATAAAACAAAACAAAACCAACCCTTGTAAGAAATATTCAGTCTTAAAGCCATCTATAGTCATATGAAAAAATACTCTAAATCGCTGTTGATTAGAGAAATGCAAATCAAAACAACTCTGAGGTACCACGTCACACCTAACAGATTGGCCAACATGACAAAACAGGAAAATGAGAAATGTTGGAGAAGATGTGGGAAAATTGAACATTCATGCATTGTTAGTGGAGTCATGAAACGATCCAACCATTTTGGAGAGCAATTTGGAACTATGCCCAAAGGGCTATAAAAATGTGCAAACCCTTTGACCCAGCAATAGCACTTCTAGGGCTATATTCAAGAGAGATCATACAAATGGGAAAAGGACCCACATGTACAAATATTTATAGCAGCTCTTTTTATGGTGGCAAAGAATTGGAAATTGAGAGGATGCCCATCAATTGGGGAATGGCTGAACAAGTTGTGGTATAATGGAATACCACTGTGCTATAAGAAATGATGAATAGGCTGACTTCAGAAAAACCTGGAAAGAACTGTATAGTCTGATGCTGAATGAAGTGAGCAGAACCAGGAGAACGTTGTAGACATAACAGCCACGTTGTACAATGAGTAATATTGATAAACTTAACCTTTCTCAGCAATACAAGGATCTAAGGCAACTCCAAAGGCCTCGTGATGGAAGATGCTATCCACAAAGAAGAAAGAACTATGGAGTTTGAATGCAGATGGAAGCATACTCTTTGCTATTTTTTTTGTCTTCTGTTGTGTTTTGTTTCCTCTTTCTGGTGGTTCCTCCTATTGATTCTAATTCTTACTTACAACATCATCAATGTGAAAATATATTTAGTAGGAGTATATATGTATAGCCTACATCAGATTGTGCACCGTCTAGGGGAAAGAGGTGGCGAGGGAGGAGGAGAAAAATTTAAAACTCAAAAGCTTATGGAAGTGATTATTGATAATTCAAAATAAATTAATAATAATAATTTAAAAAACATGCAGTCAAGCAAAATAAATTCCTGCTTTGGCCATGTCTAAAATCATGTCTCATTCTGTATCTTGGGGCCATCACTTCTCTACCTCCAGCCTCCAGTGGAAGTGGAAAGAACACAGGTGGGTGCCTTACCATCATGCTCCATGAGTCTACTGCCTGATTTCCAGTCTCTGGAGAAAGAGAAGAGGAGGGTATGTTACCTTCTCATACTGCTATCCCCCCCTAGACCCAAGCCTCCTGTGAGAGTGGAATGTGGAGAGGTGGACATCTTACCATTGCGTCCTGAGCATCTCCTGTCTAGTCTCCAGCCTCCTGTGGGAAGAGAAGTGCCACTGTATCATACCAATCTCCTATATCTGAGATGAAAGGAGAAAGTGCCATTTCATCGTTTCCAAGTAGGTGTCCTGCCTTAGGAGAAGGAGAGTATTACTTTTCTTTCTGCTCCAAGTTCTTATTCCCTCATTTGAATTGCCCTGTGCTCTGACAGGACTCCACCTTGAGGCCATAATACTATTAGGAGACAACCTGTTTTCCAAAGCTAAGGCCCACCAAGCAAGTTATGCCCTGAGCTTGACAGAACAACAATCCTTTGCACTCACCCTCTGGATGATCTCAGCCTCTGGCAAAATCACATAATTATCATATGGCTTTGACCAGCACTAGGTGTTCTCTGAGCTCAGACAAGTTCTGGTCATGAAGCCCTGCTATGAATCAAACTTGGCACATTGTTGCTGTTACCTCTCATTGTCAGGGCTACAGCTCACTGCGTCACCATTGGTATAAGGTACTGATGTCTCCCCACACTGCTTCGGGTCCCCTCTTCCCATTAGAAGTGGGGCTCTGGCAGGGGTCCTTACTTGCCATTTTCCTTCACTTTGAAATTAAACTTCTGTTTGATTCCTGACTCTACGGTCTGTAGCCTGCTCTGTTTGGCTGCAACCATCCACAGGTTAGAGGCCAGTTCCATCTGGTTAACACTATTCACAATAAAAATATCCAAACTTTTTAGTTAGTGATTAACAACTCACCCCACCCCCATCCCATCCCAGTGATTCTGAATCCTAGTAGGTCATCATCTAGTACTCCTTTCCCATTCCTCAGAGGATGATCCTTCATTCCCATTTTCCACACACACGCATACAACCAAAATCCCAACCAAAAGCTGCCCACCACTTGCACTGTACTCTCTGGAATGCCTGCTCCATAGGGAACAAACTTAAATCTTTTCTTTTACCACTCTTTCCATCTTCTGGCTCTCATTAAGACCTGTCTCCCTCCTAATGACACAGCTTTCTGGCCTCCCTCTCCAGTATTGGCTGTACTTTTATTCCCTCCCGTCTACCCCCCTGCCCCACATAAACACACACTCACTGAAAAAAAAAACAAAAAAACAAACACATTCACGGTGGAGACTGCAGATTTGGAATACTCCTTATTCGAAATTGCTACTCCCAGGTTCTCCTTGTACTACCATGATGCAATAATTTCTCCTCTTTTGAGAGTCTTGTAATCCACATCTACAATCCAATTGAAATACTAGTAGCTGTTGTCTATAACCCTGGAAGTTTGGAACTCATCTTAAAGGGCAGGCACTAGCTGTTTGAGCTGCGTCTTGAAGGAAGCTAAAAAGGGAGAGCATTCCAGGCATAGGGGACAGCCAATGAAAACATATAGAGCTGGTAGCTCGTATTCAAGGAACAGCAAGAAGACAGGTGTTACTGTATCCTAAAACATGGTAAGGAGTGAACTGTAAGTTTTGGGGTTCCCTCTGTATATTTTTATTCTGGATTTAAGAAATATAATAAGCATTTCCATAACATAGTATAATAGAAAAAGAGAGAATTGCACATAAAATGGCAACTCTTACATACCACTTGCTCTTCCTTTTAAATATATAATAAAGTTATGTAACTTTCTTTTTTCCCCCTTCCCCTGACCACTACCATTAGATATAAATGTGTATATACATGCAAAACCATACTATACATACTTCTATTTATCAGTTCTTTCTCGGATGCAGATAGCATCTTCCTTCATAGGTCCTTTGTAGTTAATTCAGGTATTTATAATAGTCAAAATGACTTGATTGCTCCAAGTTGTTCTTACAACAATATTGCTGCTACCATATACAATCTTCTCTTGGTTCTACTTGTTTTGCTCTTCGTTATTTTCCTGCAAGTCTTTCCATATTTTTCTAAAATCATCGAGCTCATCATTTCTTGTAGCACAGTAGTATTCCAACACAATCACATACCACAACTTGTTCAGCCATTCCCCAATTGACAGGCATCCACCACAAAAAGAGCTGCTATAAATATTTTAGAACATATAGGTTTTTTTTCCTTTTTCTCTAATCATCTTGGGAAACAACCCTAATACTGGTTTTATTGGGTCAAAGGGTATAGGCAGTTTTATAACCCTTTGGGCATAATTCCAAATTGCTCTCCAAAATGGTTGGATTAGTTCACAGTTCTGCCAGCAGTGAATTACTCTCCCAATTTTTCCACATCCCCTCTAACATTTGTCATTCTCCCCTTCTACAGTTTTAGCCAATCTGATAGGTATAAAAGGATATCTCAAGGTTGTTTTAATTTGCATTTCTCTAATCAATAATGATGTAGAACATTTTTCATATGTCTATAAATATGATTTATTCATTAGGAAACTGCCTGTTCATATGCTTTGACCATTTACCAATTGGGGAATGACTCATATTCTTACAGATTTGACAAAGTTCTTTATATATTTGAGATATGAGACCTTTATCTGAGAAACTGTCTATAATTTTCCCAATTTTCTGCTTTCCCTCTAATCTTAGCTACATTGGTTTTATCTATACAAAACTTTTAAAATTCAATGTAGTCAAAATTATCCATTTTACACCTCCCAATGCTCTCTGTCTCTTGTCTATTCATAAATTGTTTACCTATCCATAAGTCTGATAGTATTATGTTTCATGTTCTTCAAATTTTCTTGTAGTATATCCCTTTATATGAAGATCATGTATCTATTTTAACCTTATCTTGGTAAATTGTAAATGATATTATTCTATGCCCCATTTCTGCCAAACTGCTTTCCAGCTTTTCCAATAATTTTTCCCAAATAGTGAATTCTTCTTTTTTTTTTTTGAGGCAATTGGGGTTAAGTGTTGCACAGGATTACATAGCAAGGGGTTGTATTTGAACTCAGGTCCTCCCAATCCCAAAGCTGGTGCTCTATCTATTGTGCCACTTTGCTGCCCCTAAATAATGAATTCTTATCCTAAAAACTTAAGTTTTTATACTTGTCAAA